AAAAAAATCAATCAATCAATCAATCATGTTGATCTCCTGACCTCCTCCTCCTGCAGGAGTTCAGTGTGTTACATGTCCTCCTACCTTCCTGATCTCGTGCAGCTTGTCCTGAATCTTCTCCTGAGGACTCAGTGTCTGTCTCTGAACTGGAGGACAGACATGGAGACGTCACAACCTTCACCGATGAGTCATCATCACACACAGTTTTCATAACTTTATTTAAGTTTTCTTCATTTTTTTTACACATTATGGATTTTATCTAACAACGGCAAGTCATACAGCAGAGACTTCAGAGGGTTTTAAGGGCCATAATAGATTAAAAAATGGATAAATGAATATAAAATATAAAATATAAAATATGAAAAGTAAAATAAAATAATAAATAAAAGTTTTTGTGTGTCCTTTATTCTTGACGTCAGCGCTTACCTTGCTTGCTGCTCATGTAGACCTCCATCAGGCTGAAAGTGGACGCGTCTTCCTCCTGAAACAACACACATTATTTAGTTCACTTCACACTGTTTACAGGTGAGGTGAAGCGGTCATGAAGAGTCGACCAGGTATTTAAAGTGTGACTTTAAAAAAGGGGGAAAAAAGCTGTAAAAAAACACAGTTTTAAATAAAGAAACCATTTATATTGTTTAACTTTTTATAGAGAAATACAGCATGAAATGTAAAAAATGCAGCTTATATATGTAAAGTGACTTTATACCAATTTGTTTTTGTGACTTTTTAAATTCCATGTGTGGCTGCAAATTAGTGACAATATTAATAATTTACAATAGTTCCAATAAAATGTGTCCGAGTGAGTTACCTCACTGGTTATGTTGCTATAAATAAAAACATAAAAACATAAAGTCACCCGTCTGTGGAGCAGACCGAGGACCTCGGAGACGACTGAAGCTGCTGAGCTGTTTCTAGAGACGGAGACGGAGACGAAAGCTGCTCCCGACCTGAAACACACAGCCGGTGAGACCATCAACACACTGGGAGGAGAAACAGTACGTCTGAGCCCAATGAAAGGGGGTCAAGTTCCTCACCTGGGCCGTCCCGCGTACACCTGGATGACCTCATTGTCTCTGGGTTTGGCCCTCAGGAGCCAGGCGTCGCCGCTGTCCTTCAGGGAGCTCCGGTTGTCGGTGCCGCCGTTGCGGTTGAGGATGTCGTCGCTGTGGAGACGCTGCACGCCGCCGACCTCCTGCAGCTCGAAGTCCTGAGAATCATCGGGGAGGAAGAAGGCCCTCAGAGCCGCCTCCTGCAGGACAACACCGGTACAGCGTATTATTAAAACAATATATATACATATATATATATATATTTACTATAATAATGTCATCTATCTGCTTTGTTTTTACAATGTAAAGCGCTGTACAAATACAATGTAATTTTATTATTATTATTATTAATACAAATACATACAATTATTATATTAAATTCACCTCAAAATAAGACATGTAATTAAAAGGATTAGGAATCACCAATCGGACAAAGAACAATATTTAGTTTCGTATTAAATATGAAAGTAGATTCACAGAGATTTAAATAGAGTTTTAGTCTTCAGAAACTCTTTGGCTGCCTTTACTTTGATCAACGTTCTATTTTAACATATTTTGTATTAGAATAGTTTAATTATAAACCTGTAAATCAAAACATGAATTTAACTATTTTCTCCTTCAATCTCACTGCTGTGATGTTAAATTCTCCATTGAATTACTTAAAACCAGCTTTTACAGAATTATAATTACCTGCTTTTATTTTGAAAAACAAATGCCTATTCCTGAAGTTGCCACTAGAGAGCCTAGATGTAGATAGTAGTAGTAGTAGTAGTAATAGTAGTAGTAGTAGCAGTAGTAGTAATAGTAGTAGTAGTAGTAGTAGCAGTAGTAGTAGTAGCAGTAGTAGTAGTAGCAGTAGTAGTAATAGTAGTAATAGTAATAGTAGTAGTAGTAGTAATAGTAGTAGTAGTAATAGTAGTAATAGTAGTAGTAGTAGTAATAGTACTAGTAGTAGTAGTAGTAGTAGTAGTAGTATTTGTTGTAGTAATAGTGTGTGTGAAATGTTTTTGGGAAGCTCTCACCACAACTTCTTCATTCTTTGTGGCTCTCATGATGGAAACCAATCGGAAGCCGGCACGTTTCACTGCATCATCACCGTCAAACACCTTCAGAAGCTGTTTACCTGTGAGTCACACACACACACACACACACACACACACACACACACACACACACATCATTATTCATCTCTTATGACCTGTCTGGAGGTCTAACCTGACTCTAGAGGTCTAACCTGACTCTGGAGGTCTAACCTGACGACTCTGGAGGTCTAACCTGATGATTCTGCAGGTCTAACCTGACGACTCTGGAGGTCTAACCTGACGACTCTGGAGG